CCACATTGGAAAGAAAACCTGTCACTTCCTGTTGTGTTTCCAAGGAAGTAAAGGGAAATCTCCCCAGTGAGACACAGATGGCAAAAAAACAATGGTTATTGCAAGGTGGACTGAGGTATTTATTTATTACAGGCATTTATATAGCGCCAATAGGTTATGCCGTGCTTTACATACTGTACATTCTCATCAGTCTCTGCCTTTGAGGAGCTTACATTCTATTCACAAAAGTTTTATTGAGGTTCGAATGAAAATACAGCAACCGTTGGCATAGTACATGGGTATGGGCATAGTACATTGAGCAGATATCGCCCAAATCGCTCATTCCGCTCCTCCCAAGACATCTTCCTCTCTAGCTCCCTCATCACCTCCTCCCACGCTCGCCTCCAGGACTTCTCCAGAGCCTCTTCCATCCTCTGGAACTGTATTTTATATAGGGTGCGCTTGCTGGAACCAAACCTCTGTAGCTGTAGGATAAAGGTGCCAGATGGATATCAGGGATGGATGGGAGCAGTAACACTTAGGCAGCTCTTCTTAGAGTGGAAGCAAGGCTCTAATGCAGTAACAAGAAAAAGAGAGGAAGGCGCCTCTAAGTGCAGTGTGTGCAAAATGAAGCTAGGAGAGCAGATTCGGATGCAGGAGGTGAAGGGGGCGGTAATGCATTTCAGAGCATGCTCAATAGGCTCCTTCTTCAGAGTCTACATCCGACTCTGCTCTCCTAGCTTCATTTTGATGCACAGGCACATCCTGGACTCTACTTCCTGATCCTATAGACAGAGTTTGCTGCTGGACGGCTGGATGTCCCACCTGGATCTAATTACCACACAATGAGTCTTTTTAACTATTTATCTTGTAAGTGCAATACACATTGGGGCAAAAAAGTATTTAGTCAGCCACCAATTGTGCAAGTTCTCCCACTTAAAAAGATGAGAGAGGCCTGTAATTGGCATCATAGGTAGACCTCAACTATGAGAGACAAAATGAGAAAAACAATCCAGACAATCACATCGGCTGATTTGGAAAGAATTTATTTGCAAATTATGGTGGAAACTAAGTATTTGGTCACCTACAAACAAGCAAGATTTCTGGCTCTCACAGACCTGTACCTTCTTCTTTAAGAGGCTCCTCTGTCCTGCACTCATTACCTGTATCAATGGCACCTGTTTGAGGTTGTTATCAGTATAAAAGACACCTGTGCACAACCTCAAACAGTCACACTCCAAACTCCACTATGGTGAAGACCAAAGAGCTGTCGAAGGACACCAGAAACAAAATTGTAGGCCTGCACCAGGCTGGGAAGACTGAATCTGCAATAGGCAAGCAGCTTGATGTGAACAAATCAACTGTGGGAGCAATAATTAGAAAATGGAGACATACAAGACCACTGATAATCTCCCTCGATCTGGGGCTCCACGCAAGATCTCACCCCGTGGGGTCAAAATGATCAACGTAACATCAGTAACACACTACGCCGCCAGGGACTCCGATCCTGCAGTGCCAGACGTGTCCCCCTGCTTAAGGAAGCACATGTCCGGGCCCATCTGAAGTTTGCTAGAGAGCATTTGGATGATCCAGAAGAGGATTGGGAGAATGTCATATGGTCAGATGAAACCAAAATAGAACTGTTTGGTAGAAACACAACTTGTCGTGTTTGGAGGAGAGAGAATGCTGAGTTACATCCAAAGAACACCATACCTACTGTGAAGCATGGGGGTGGCAACATCATGCTTTGGGGCTGTTTCTCCGCAAAGGGACCAGGACGACTGATCCATGTACAGGACAGAATGAATGGGGCCATGTATCATGAGATTTTGAGTGCAAACCTTCCATCAGCAAGGGCACTGAAGATGAAACGTGGCTGGGTCTTCCAACATGACAATGGTCCCAAACATACCGCCCGGGCAACGAAGGAGTGGCTTCGTAAGAAGCATTTCAAGGTCCTGGAGTGGCCTAGCCAGTCTCCAGATCTCAACCCCATAGAAAACCTTTGGAGGGAGTTGAAAGTCTGTGTTGCCCAGCGACAGCCCCAAAACATCACTGCTCTAGAGGAGATCTGAATGGAGGAATGGGCCAACATACCAGCAACAGTGTGTACCAACCTTGTGAAGACTTACAGGAAACGTTTGACCTCTGTCATTGCCAACAAAGGATATATAACAAAGTATTGAGATGAACTTTTCATATTGACCAAATACTTATTTTCCACCATAATTTGCAAATAAATTCTTTCCAAATCAGCCAATGTGATTGTGTGGATTTGTTTTCTCATTTTGTCTCTCATAGTTGAGGTCTACCTATGATGCCAATTACAGGCCTCTCTCATCTTTTTAAGTGGGAGAACTTGCACAATTGGTGGCTGACTAAATACTTTTTTGCCCCACTGTATGCATTGTTTACCAAATAAATTGTCAATACTGCACTTAGAGGCGCCTTCCTCTCTTTTTCTTCATCCTCTGGAACTCCCTACCACAGTATGGACATCCCCCACCCTGTCTGCCTTTAGGCGATCTTTGAAAACTCACTTATTCAGGGAAGCCTACCCCACCTCCACCTAAGAACTGTGCTTGAATCACCTCCACCAGATCTTCCCCCGAAGCTATCTCACCTTTTGTATCACCTCCCCCTTCCTTTTAGATTGTAAGCTCCACGAGCTGGACCCTCCTATTCCTTCTGTACTGAAATGTATTGTAATTGTATTGTCTCCATTATATTGTAAAGAGCTGCGCACACTGTTGGTGCTATATAAATCTGTATAATAATAATAATAATATACAAATGTGTCAAACAAATAACAGCGTGGGAAATACACAATGCCAATACAGTAGTAAAGAGGCAAATGGAATCACATTTCCAGAGGATATTTGGTGGTTCATTAAAGATCCAATGGATGTAAAATCCTTCGGGGATTGAGGAGCTTACATTCTAAGGTCACTGCCCAATGCATATAAACGTTGTACATCCAAACTAGACCCAGTTAACCTATATACAAGTTTTTAGAGCACAGGAGGATATCACAGTACACACTTGCAAGCACAGGGAGAACATGCAGATTCCATGCAGACAGTGTCCTGGATGGGATTCCAAACAAGTATTCCCAGTGCTGCAAGGCAGAAGTGATAACCACTAAGCTACTGTGCTGCTCCAGTGGTGGGCCTCGGCTTCAACTCGCAGCCAAACCCATTGCTTTCACTCAGGGTTTGGCGTCTCTTCTGCCATAGGCAATAGCAGTTAGGCACATCTTTTGTTAACCTGGATGAAGGTGGGGCCCTTCCTTATACAGAAAATTGTTGTCACCTTAGGTTTCCCACATCCCAATCTTCATGCACAGTGTTTGTCTTCTCTTTCCTTTTGACACTTCCAGACCGAACACTTTTATTCCCTTCCAGTCCAGGCCAATTTTCAGCTTTCAGCACTATCACACTTTGAATGACAATTGCGTGGTCATGCGACACTGTACCCATATGAAAGTTTTAGCATTTTTTTGAGACAGATAAAACTTTATTTTGGTGGTATTTATTCACCGTTGGGATTTTTATTTTTTTTGCTATATAAATGAAAATGTCCAAAAAGTTTGAAAAAAAGTGTTTTTCTTATGAAATTTTGCAAATAAATAATTTTTCTTCATAAATCTTGGCCAAAATTTATTCAGTTATCTTTTAGTAAAAAAAAAATGATCCAAATTAGTTTATAACCAAAAATTATAATTTTTCAAAAAACATTTTTTACATTTTTATTTTTTATATTATTATTTGTTTTCTTTTTTACATACTGTCACCCTAGCAGTACAGTGTCACCATGGTGACACTGTACTACTTGTGGGGGGTGATGAAGATTTTTTATTTTTTTTTTTTTTTACACTGATTGCTTTTACAGCCTTTATGGGTGTAAAAGCAATAATTTCTCCTTCTCTCTGGCTGCATTCTTGCAGCCATTGAAAATACTGTATGAGCTGTGATTGGTCACAGCTTGTCACATGGTATAAGGCTGTTGTGAATAGCCTTGTACCATGTGACCTCTGTGATCATTCACAGATTTCACACGTAGTAAGCAATGTCAGAGGTGACATCTTGCTTACTACTATTCATGTGATCACTGATTGGCCAATCAGTGATCACATGATCGGGACCTCACACAGAGGTCCTGTATAACAATCAATGTTCCACTGTGTCCGGAGGACACAGCAGGTACCAGATTGCGGTCCTGCGCTCTCCCACGGAGTGCGCACAAGCGGGGAGGGCGTTTATAAACGGCCACCCGCCCCTGCACTGCTCCCGTCCGGCCGTTTATATACATGGCCTGGATGGGAAGTGGTTGAAAACAGCTGTGTGACCAAGTTGAATAAAAAGATGGGGTGCCCTCAGGTGAGGGTCACTCCCAATATATACACTAGTGCCACGTCCTAATTTTGACTAGTCAGAAGAAACAGGAATGCTACAAATGGACTTTATAGGCACAAAGACTAGGTACGCGTATAAATAAATGTATTTATATGCTTACCTAGTCTTTGTGCCTATAAAGTCCATTTGTAGCATTCCTGTTTCTTCTGACTAGCTGTGTGAGCAAACCCTTTTTCTTGTTTTCAATACAATATGAAAGGGTTAACAACCTTGTCAGTTTTTTCTAACTTGCTGTGTCCCATCAGGGAGATTTTCCTTCACTTCCTTTCCCAAAGACACAACAGGAAGTAAGTGGTAATCTCTCCAAGCAAAGGGGAACCCCCCCCTTTTTTTTTTTCACTGGAACAGTTGTCCACATTGGAAGACGTACCATTGCTTGGACTTACCATTACTTTCTGGACTAGTGATAATGGTCATCAGCACAAACAGAGAGGGTGAATCCCCTCAACATGAACAAAGACAACAATACAAACTTGACAGAAGTTTTAACATTCCTATACCCTATCCAATACATAAGAAAAAGGTTTTTCATTTATGTAGACTTTAATATAAATAAATTTTACTAAAGCTATGTGTCCTGACTGTTCTCTCTTCTCCCTCTGCCAGCGCTCCGTTGTACAGACGACACCCCAACCACAGAAGTCTTCTCCAGTGCACCAGCTCAATGTCCAGGGTCTGCAGCATGTCCAGGGCACATCGGAGGTATAGCTGTGTTGTCATAGGACTGGGGTTTCATTGTCTACTGAAACAGAAACACGCTGGACATGGTTTTATGTTCTTCCAATGTACAGTTTGGGTATAAATTTCAGGAACCTGTGACTCTTTCTCATGTTTACACATTTAAAAGGTACCTGATGAGATGGATGTATAGAAGCCACACTGGTTCATGTTCCAGGGTTGTCATCCTTATCCTTTCACAACTTGATGTCACTTCATGAAACAAGCATGTATATATCAGGTGTTAATGATCTCCTTGGTGGGATGAGTTTGGTGGGAGGAGTGGTGGGATGAGTTTGGTGTGGAGGAGTGGTGGGATGAGTTTGGTGTGGAGGAGTGGTGGGATGAGTTTGGTGTGGAGGAGTGGTGGGAAGAGTTTGGTGTGGAGGAGTGGTGGGGATGAGTTTGGTGTGGAGGAATGGTGGGATGAGTTTGGTGTGGAGGAGTGGTGGGAAGAGTTTGGTGTGAAGGGTGGTGGGGGAGTTTGGTGTGCAGGAGTGGTGGGATGAGTTTGGTGTGCAGGAGTGGTGGGATGAGTTTGGGTGTGCAGGAGTGGTGGGGATGAGTTTGGTGTGGAGGAGTGGTGGGATGAGTTTGGTGTGGAGGAGTGGTGGGATGAGTTTGGTGTGGAGGAGTGGTGGGATGAGTTTGGTGTGAAGGCGTGGTGGGATGAGTTTGGTGTGAAGGCGTGGTGGGATGAGTTTGGTGTGGAGGAGTGGTGGGATGAGTTTGGTGTGGAGGCGTGGTGGGATGAGTTTGGTGTGGAGGCGTGGTGGGATGAGTTTGGTGTGGAGGCGTGGTGGGATGAGTTTGGTGTGGAGGAGTGGTGGGATGAGTTTGGTGTGGAGGAGTGGTGGGATGAGTTTGGTGTGGAGGAGTGGTGGGATGAGTTTGGTGTGCAGGAGGGACGTGATTGGCCTACACAGACCCTGACCTCAGTTCTACTGATCATCTTTGGGACGAATTGGAACTCTGAATGCGAGCCAGCTCTTCTCATCCAACATCAGTACCTGACCACACAATCAGTCATTGGGCTGAACTGGCAGAGGTTCCACAGACACACTCCAGAATCTTGTGGAAAGCCTTCCTAGAACAGTAGACGCTCCCATAGCTACAAAGAGGATCATCTCCATGTCTATGCCCATGGTTTTGAAATTTAATGTCCAATAAGCTCATACAGTTTCCTGGTCAGGTGCTGAGAGACTTCTGGCCTTATAGTGTTTCATCCACACACTCCTTTTAGCCCGGGTTCACACTGATGCGGTGCGGAATTTGCAGCGTTTTCAGTGCGAATTCCGCACCGCATCAGAATCGCTCCTCGTTAATGCGAACCGCTGCAGGTGTGTATGTTAAGTTAACAACGCCCTGAAAGCGGTCCGCAAAACGTGGTACAATGTGCAGAATCAAATCGCAAAGGTGTGAATACCCGTGCCATCCAATTCCAGTGCGGACCAAAAAAAGGGTCCTGCACCTTTTTGGTGCGGGTACAGTGCGACTAGAGCCATACAAAATGTACGGCTCCAATCGCACCACACACAAATCGCATGTGATTTACACAGGAATGCGGTGCAGTTCCTGTGAGAATCACATGCGATATACCGCACCGCATATATGTGAACCCGGGCTTATAGTTTTTTGTCAAGCATTTCATAAAGAAACGAGAGACAAGAGATACCTTAAAGTAAATTTAAATGCGACTTTAACATTTTCACAAGCTTGCTCTTACATATCTTTGTTATTTTCTTATTTGATCCTTTTGTTAAATATACCATTGAAAGCATTTTGTTATATCTGTTTGATAAGTAAAAATAATATATATATATATATATATATATATATATATATATATATATATACACACACACCCGTTGATCCTGCCAGAAATCAAGTAACCTGATAACTTCCTGTGCACTCTGCAGTGCTATCAGTCCTGCACAGTTTCCCTCTGTGAGCTACAGGACAAATCCCCCCTATGTTGTGTTGTGGAGATGGGCAGACGAGGAATTGTAAAGTCCTCTTCTGAGGTGACAACACTAGAACAACTCTGTGTCAGAAATAAGTCCTGCTGTAATAAATCTAGATGAATTACCTCTGGTTCTAAAGTGTTTTATAAGTGGATACCTATTTGTGAGCATTATGTTAACCCCTTAGAATATGTACTTGATGTCCTTTGCTCACTATATACCTGTGTCTTTATTTCTCAGAGCTCAGGCAAACCGACCTCCTGTAGTACAGCTGAGGAGGAGACTAATCAGCAGTCTGTAGACATCGGTTACATCTTCCTGCTCAGTTCAGATCAGGACTTCTACTGCATGCAGCCTATGGTTTCGGGGTCCAAAGAGGAGTGGCTGGAGGTGCTGTCTGCCATGCCTTGGCCTCTGCCCCACTCTTCCGTATTCATAGACAGCCCTCAGAGAGTCAAGGTGCAAAAGGTCCCTCAAGTACCCTTGTGTGACACAGCTCCAAAAGTAGGTGACAGGGAGACAAGGATGTGACTAGGGTCAGGACTTTGTTGTGACTGGATACTGTGGAGGAGGAGTGGAGACTGCTCGATGCTTACCCAGACCTCTGTATTGTGGCATTGTCTGACTTGTATCTCTCACTGGCAGGTTCAGCAGATGCAGCAAGTCCCTGTACAGCACGTGTATCCCGGGCAAGTCCAGTATGTGGAAGGAGGAGATGCCAACTACACTGCAAGCACCATGTAAGACCAGAGTGTTGCCGTTTGTATAAAGAGGACCTGTGGCTGACATAATGATGCAAAATAGTTTGGCAGGAAGGGTGGACAGAGTAGGCATGACTGTAAAATCTCCAAAAGTAATACAGCTCTGGGCTACACTCTTTTATAAAGTTGCAAGGGTAGTGGTGTGCAAAACCACATCACCAGAACTACATTGTAGATGAATAATCAACATGGATCACTTGGGTCAAACAATTCCAGTGTTTCTGGGCTGTGCAGGGTCCCACCCGCCACTGTGTCACTTTGAGGAGGAGGACCTTCTCATCCTTGATACGTTGGCTTTGTTTGAGCCAAGTGATGTGATAAATATATATAATATTATCATGGCGCCTAGTGTCTCTGTGTGAAACAATAATGATGTGCCCGCAGTGCGCTGGCAATGTGAAGTGTGAAATGTGCATTTATTATTCTTTCTACAGGAGCTTGGAAAGCAATGCGTGATCAGTGGATCAGGGGTACAATGGTCAGGTTTCATGAGGCACGCCCTGCAGACTTCTGTCCGTACTTTTCTATGGGCTGTCCATTGAAAGCTGCAGGGCTTGTGAATGAACTATGAGAGCGCTCATCAGCGCCCTTGCAGTTCATTCAGTAGTACAACCCATCAGCTGTGGTGGCTGTTGGTACTTGTAGTTCATTCATTCACAAGAAACTGTGAATGATTGGCGCTGCTGTGTGAGCAGAGCCCCACGCGGCTGCCCTCTTTTTCAAAAAGTGGCAGTGGGTGTGCGGAGAATATCCCTCATCCACTGTCACACTGTGGGGATGATAGGGGGAACTGGCAGCAGGAGCCAGAACATGAAAACACAGCAAACTCTGTACTCCTGTGTTTGGGGATGGACTTGGCTAGGGTTACATCTCAGATGTCCTGGAGAAAGTTTTCTTTGTATCCAGGAGCCAGAACATGTGACATGTTCCACCCTAAATATGGGTGGGAATGCGTGACATGTTCCAAAAGGAGAACTTAGCCTTTAAATGTGTCATGAGTGCCAATTTTTACCACTTACGTGAATGTGTCTTTCAAAATCTACTGGGACAGAGAAGACCTACCTCTATGTCCCACCCCTGATAGAGTGTAGAGTAGAGTGAAGGCGAGAATTTGTTTTTGTTTTTGCAGTATTTTTCTTCTGGTAGTTGAAACTTAATTCAGTCCCTTTTGTCTCTCAACCACTTTAAACTAAAAGATTATATGGTTACCTCCCACACCCGACTGCAGAACTTCTCCAGGACTTCCCCCATCCTCTGGAACTCACTATCCCAATCCATCAGACTGTCACCTACCCTCCTCACCTTTAGGCACACTCTGAAAACCAATGTCTTCAGGGAAGCCTACCCCGCCCTCACCTAACAGCCGATCTCCTCCACTCCTCCCACCACTCCATCCCCCACAGCCACTTCCTCCTGTACCACTATCCCCTCCCTCCTAGATTGTAAGCTCGAAAGAGCAGGGCCCTCGAACCCGTCGTGTATTGCATTGTCTCATGTACTGTCCCCCACTATAATGTACAGCGCTGAGCAAACCTTTTAGCGATATATAAATCCTGTATAATAATAATAATATGGTAAGGCCTACAAATCTTCTCACTTCATTTGCGTATTTTATCTGTGTCTGTACAGCCGCTCTGGTTCCTACACCTACACTGAAACCCCACTTTACAGCCAAGCCACAGGATCTACTTATTTCGAGTCTCAGAGTGCCACAGGGCAGGGAAGTTCTCCAACGTCCTCACCAACTGTGGCCAGTAGCCCCATGTATGTGTCTGGAGGACAGATCCTTGCCAGTGCCACCCCTCCAGGGTCTTCTGGAGGAGCTGCTGCAGGAGCAAGTGGAGGATCAGGATCTGGGACCTATGTCATACAGGGTGGATTTATAATGGGCAACTCTACGCAGCCCTACTCTCACACCACACGTGCCTCTCCTGCCACAGTAAGTAGGCCAGTTTTTGTTTTTGAAACCCTTCCAAGAGCCATTTCTCATGAACTTATTGCACTGGGCCCGGGGTCATCTAACCATTACTACATTCAGTATTCCTGAGTGTCCTGTGTAAAATACATCTGCTGTAGAGGCATAGTAGATGTTTATGTGGGCTGGAGCTTTCAATTCTAAACATTTTCCAGAGTGCTGGATGACCCTGGGCTCTGCACATAGAAGTGTGTATTTAAAGGGCAGCCAACACTGGCATCTGTATATGGCAGAGTAATATTGTATGGTTGATACTTGTACACATTGTACCTGTAAGTATTTACACAGCCCAATGGTGAAGTGATGAGTACAATTTGCATTGTTTTCTTATGGATCCTCTTTCTTTTTCTTTCTGTATGACTTTTGGTTCTTCCGTGCCAGGTGCAGTGGCTACTGGACAATTATGAGACAGCAGAGGGGGTGAGCCTCCCACGCAGCACCCTTTACTGCCACTATTTGCTGCACTGTCAGGAGCAGAAGCTGGAGCCAGTCAATGCTGCCTCCTTTGGAAAGCTCATCCGCTCAGTCTTCATGGGATTGCGCACTCGACGGTTGGGAACCAGGTACAGGCTAAAAACGATGTCTCCAAAATGAATGTCACGTGAATAGGGAGCGGACTGTCCTGCACAATGATGTGCAGGGCTGCTGTTAGAAACCACAGGGCCCCTTATAGTCTACCTGAAAGGGCCCCCCAAACAGCCAACGCAACATTCCCCCCCATCCCCACAAAAAAACACAGTTTATTTATGCTTCAGTTATGAATGAACACAGTGAGTTATCGGTACTGATCACTCATTGGGTTCATTCAGGAAAGGAAAAGGCTGGTAAATTACTGGAACAGATCCCCTGTATGTCTCTCTCTGCAGGAGCTGAAAGCCAGGGGGAGGGAGAGGAGAAGAAGCCAACTTTCAGCTGCTGCAGGGAGAGCCATACAGGGGATTGGTTCAAGTAACAGCCCCCTACCCCCCGCCATGCCAATAACCCTCCCTGCCCACATCCGATTTAATAAACGGCCCTGTACAGGACTAGAGGTATCCCCTTATCCACAGCCCTGGTGATGTGCATAAGGAGTGCACAGTCCTGCACTGCAGTGTACATATGGAGTGCACAGTCCTGCATTATGCATAAGGAGTGCCCAGTTCTGCATTGTTATGTATATTGGGAGTGGACTGTCCTCACTGGGATATATATATAAGGAACACGCAGTCCTGCAGTGTGGTGTGTATAGGGGAGCGCACTGTCATGCAATATGCATAAGGAGAGCTCAGTCCTGCATTGTGATGTATATTGGGAGTGCAGAGTCCTCACTGTGATATACAGGTGAAACTCAAAAAATTAGAATATCGTGCAAAAGTTCATTTATTTCAGTAATGCAACTTAAAAGGTGAAACTAATATATGAGATAGACTCATTACATGCAAAGCAAGATAGTTCAAGCCGTGATTTGTCATCATTGTGATAATTATGGCTTGCAGCTTATGAAAACCCCAAATCCACAATCTCAGAAAATGAGAATATTACATGCAATCAATAAAACAAGGATTGTACATAGAACAATATCGGACCTCTGAAAAGTATAAGCATGCATATGTACTCAGTACTTGGTGTGGGCCCCTTTGGCAGCAATTACTGCCTCAATGCGGCGTGGCATGGAAGCTATCAGGCTGTGGCACTGCTGAGGTGTTATGGAAGACCAGGATGCTTCAATAGCGGCCTTCAGCTCTTCTGCATTGTTCGTTCTCATGTCTCTCATCTTTCTCTTGGCAATGCCCCATAGATTATCTATGGGGTTCAGGTCAGGCGAGTTTGCTGGCCAATCAAGCACAGTAATCCCACAGTCATTGAACCAGGTTTTGGTACTTTTGACAGTGTGGGCAGGTGCCAAGTCCTGCTGGAAAATGAAGTCAGCATCTCCATAAAGCTCGTCTGCGGAAGGAAGCATGAAGTGCTCCAAAATCTCCTGGTAGGCGGCTGCGTGGACCCTGGACTTAATGAAGCACAGTGGGCCAACACCAGCAGATGACATGGCTCCCCAAATCAACACAGACTGTGGAAACTTCACACAGGGCTTCAAGCATCTTGCAGTGTGTGCCTCTCCATTCTTCCTCCATACTCTGGGTCCTTGGGGCTCTCCATTCTTCCTCCATACTCGGGATCCTTGGGCCTCTCTATTCTTCCTCCATACTCGGGGTCCTTGGGCCTCTCCATTCTTCCTCCATACTCGGGGTCCTTGTGCTTCTCCATTCTTCCTCCATACTCGGGGTCCTTGTGCCTCTCCATTCTTCCTCCATACTCGGGGTCCTTGGGGCTCTCCATTCTTCCTCCATACTCGGGGTCCTTGGGCCTCTCTATTCTTCCTCCATACTCGGGGTCCTTGGGCCTCTCCATTCTTCCTCCATACTCGGGGTCCTTGTGCTTCTCCATTCTTCCTCCATATTCGGGGTCCTTGGGCCTCTCTATTCTTCCTCCATACTCGGGGTCCTTGGGCCTCTCCATTCTTCCTCCATACTCGGGGTCCTTGTGCTTCTCCATTCTTCCTCCATACTCGGGGTCCTTGGTTTCCAAATGAGATGCAAAAGTTGCTCTCATCAGAAAAGAGGACTTTGGACCACTGAGCAACAGACCAGGTCTGTTTTTCTTTAGCCCAGATAAGACGCTTCTGACGTTGTTTGTTGTTCAGGAGCGGCTTGACAAGAGGAATACGACATTTGAAGCCCATGTCCAGGATCTGTCTATGTGTGGTGGCTCTTGATGCACTGACTCCAGCCTCAGTCCACTCCTTGTGAAAGTCCACAACACTTTTGAATGGCCTTTTCCTGACAATCCTCTCCAGGCTGCGGTCATCCCTGCTGCTTGTGCACCTTTTTCTTCCACACTTTTCCCTTCCACATAACTTTCTATTAATGTGCTTTGATACAGCACTTTGGGAACATCCAACTTCTTTTGCAATTACCTTTTGAGGCTTTCCCTCCTTATGAAGGGTGTCAATGATGGTTTTCTGCACAACTGTCAGGTCGGCAGTCTTTCCCATGATTGTGATTCCTACTGAACCAGACTGAGAGACCATTTAAAGGCTCAGGAACCCTTTGCAGGTGTTATGGCTTAATTAGCTGATTAGAGTGGGACACTTTGAGCCGAGAATATTACACCTTTTCACAATATTCTCATTTTCTGAGATTGTGGATTTGGGGTTTTCATGAGCTGTAAGCCATAATCATCACAATGATGACAAATCACGGCTTGAACTATCTTGCTTTGCATGTAATGAGTCTATCTCATATATTAGTTTCACCTTTTAAGTTGCATTACTGAAATAAATGAACTTTTGCACGATATTAAAATTTTTCGAGTTTCACCTGTATATATATGGAGCACGCAGTCCTGCAGTGTGGTGTACGTAGGGAGTGCACTCTTCATGTATCTTAAGACTAACATTCTTATTTCTTTTTACTAGAGGAAACTCCAAATACCACTACTACGGCCTCCGTATAAAAGCCAGCTCCCCCCTCTTGCGCCTCATGGAGGATCAGCAGCATCTTGCTATGCGGCAACAGCCATTCTCCCAGAAACAGAGGTAATCTTCTACAGTCTCCTCCCTCTGTGGTATTCCTACCAATCACAGATCAGTCATTGATGATTCCCTCTCCTCTTCTGTGTGTGTTGTCTTTTGAAGCTGGTTTAATCTGCTTATATTTTGCCTTCCCTGGTTCCTTATTTCCCCCCATTTCAACATGCTAATGGCATTTTTAAAGAGAACCTTTCTATTGCCATTACATATCTTATTTTAGACCCAGTGACAGCATCACTGGATCCCTTTGCTTCTCTATGCAATGCAGGCAGATCATGGATGGTGAGAAAGTCCAGCAGGGTACTATACGTAGGTTCTTGAAAACATCACAGTACTGTGCTTCTGGACTTCTCTCAAGTGCTCTCAGCCCTGATGCAATCAGTGGGTGGGCTTTTGGGAGGAGTTGTGCAAATAGCAAAAAAGCCTTGACGGGTGGATGTCTGTTTGGAGAAGTGGGCTGAATTAGCCTGCAGACCACCCTAGGTAACATCCACATGTATTGCTGAGCCTTCATCATTGGAAAAATTGACCAAAGCAGGCCAGGGACAGGAAGGCTAGGGAAGAAAGGGCGTAGGTGATGCTGGATGTTCCCCAGCCCAGATATGAGGCAAGCTCTGGCTTACTTGCAGCTTCTAATACACACTTTAGTCTGCAGTGACATTATTATTATTATTATTATACAGTATTTATAAAGCGCCAATAGTTCTCTCAGCGCTGTACATTACAAAGGGGGACAGAACATGTGACAGAACAATACCAATACAATGCAAAACATGAGGGGATTGAGGGCCCTGCTCTTTGGAGCTTACAATCTAGGAGGGAGGGGATGGTGGCGCAGGAGGATATAGCTGTGGGGGATGGAGTGGTAGGAAGAGTGGAGGAGGTCGGCAAGTTAGCAGGAGGTGGGGTATGCTTCCCTGAAGAGATGGGTTTTCAGGGTGCACCTAAAGGAGAGGAGAGTAGGTGATAATCTGATGGGTTGGGGTAGGGAGTTCCAGAGGATGGGTGACACCCTGGAGAAGTCCTGGAGGTGGGCATGGGAGGAGGAGACCAGGGAACTAGAGAGAAGGAGGTCTTGTGAGGAACGGAGTGTGCGTGCTGGGTGGTACTTGGATATTAGGTCAGTGATGTAGTTCGGGGCAGTATGGTGGACAGCTTTGTACGTCATTGTTAGGATTTTGAATTTGATCCGTTGGGCAATCGGAAGCCAGTGGAGGGATTGGCAGAGGGGGGTGGCGGATATGGAGCTGTTGGAAAGGTGAATGAGTCTGGCAGCCGTATTCAGGATCGACTGAAGCGGGGATAGACATTGGTCAATCAGTGATCACAGGAACAATAGTAAACAAGATGTCACTTCCTGAAATCATTGCTTACCACGTGTGAAATCTGTGAATGATCACAGAGGTCACATGGTACAAGGCTATTCACAACAGCCTTGTACCATGTGACAAGCTGTGACCAATCACAGCTCACACAGTATTTCTCAATGGCTGCAAGAATGCAGCCAGAGAGAAGGAGAAATGATTGCTTTTATATTCTTTATAGGTGTAAAAGCAATCAGTGTAAAAAAAGAGAAAAAAAAAAAATCTTCGTCACCCCCCCCCCCACAAGTAGTACAGTGTCACTATGGTGACACTGTACCGCTAGGGTGACAATATGTTAAAAAACATAAATAATAATATAAAAAAAAATAAAAAATGTGTGAAAAATTATAATTTTTGGTTATAAACTAATTTGGGTTATTTTTTTTTACTAAAAAGATAGATGAATACATTTTGGCCAAGATTTATGAAGAAAGATTATTTATTTGCAAAATTTTGTAAGAAAAACACTTTTTTAAAAAAATGTTAATTTAAAAAGAAAAACGCTTTTTTTTTTTTTTTTTCAAAATGTTCGGGATTTTTCATTTACAGTATATAGCAAAAAAATAAAAATCCCAGTGATGAATAAATACCACCAAAATAAAATGGTAACTGTCTCAAAAAATCCTAAAAAATTCATATGGGTACAGTGTTGCATGACCGTGCAATTGTCATTCAAAGTGTGACAGCGATGAAAGCTGAAAATTGCCATGGGCAGGAAGGGGGTGAAAGTGTCCGGACAGGAAGTGGTTAAATGAACTGTGGTAACATTGTGAATATTGTTGCAATCCCTGTAGTCAACCGCAAAATGTGGTTCAAGAGAATCTGTCAAGTTTCTCGGTAAAGTAACAGATTCTCTAGATAGGGGTACTCTCATCCAATTTTACCAACTTTCCCTGCTCTTTGCTGCTTCTATTAGGGCCCTTGAAATAACCTTTGCTCCCAGGATGTAGTGCTCTGACCTAAGAAACCAATTGTCTCACCCAAACACTGTGATGGAGGAGAGGAGAGTCATTGACCCTGTGTATGTACCAGGGGCGGACTGACCATTTGGAAACTCGGGCACTGCCCGAGGGCCCGGGGTCAGTAGGGGGCCCCATGAGATGCCCCTGGTACCTTTTGGCTATAGGCTATTTTGAGTTTGGGCTAGAACACAGGGGCCCCATGATCCCCTATTGCCCGGGGGCCCCATGAGTTGTCAGTCCGCCCCTGCTACGTACCCACATTGACTGCTGCGGTCAGGGGCGGACTGACAACTCATGGGGCCCCCGGACAATAGGGAATCATGGGGCCCCTGTGTCCTTATCCACACTCAAACCACACCCAAAAAAGCCTATGAAAGGTACTAGGGGCATCTCATGGGGCCCCCTACTGACCCTGGGCCCTCAGGCAGTGCCCGAATAGTCAGTCCGCCCCTGGCTGCGGTACTTAAACAGGGTTTAGAGTCATGGCTGAGAAATACTAGGGGTGGGGGGAGCTGAATAGGCCATTTGATAGATTTTGTTTTTTATTTTCGGTTAACATTCCCTGTTAATTTGTGCCATGCTTACCAACTGCCACTTTGTGCATCTGACAACTTTCATTTCTCCAAGGATGAAGCCCATTCAGAAAATGGAAGGAATGAGTAATGGGGTAGGAGGAACCCAGCAGCCACCCTCTGGCCTTTCAGATATCAGCTCCCAGGTTCAGCAGTACCAGCAGTTCCTTGGTAGGTGATGAGTGATGAGTTTCTTCCCATGTCCATACATCACCAGTCCTTTATAATCCTCCATGTCTTCTGTGCAGATGCCTCCCGGACTTTGCCTGAGTTTTCAGACATAGACCTGCAGGAAAAACCACTACCTGAGGGAGTCGCTTCGGCTGAAATCAAGGCCTTCCAGCTGCTTTATCGAGAGCACTGTGAGGTAAGTGATTGCAGCTTGTCCTCTTATTTTATAAGAATTCTGCTACTTTGTAAAAACTGCAGGCATCCCATGAGTTAAGTCTGATGAGGTGCCCTCCTAGACATATCTATATTATTCAAGTCTGACATGTTTATTGTGCTGAAGGAAGATAATTTCCAGAGCTCTGATGCTGCTCACCATGTTCTTTCAAGAGCAGAGTCGATGGAACTGTTATACCGGCCCCTCCCCTCCTTCACATTCACGGAAGCCTTTCTATTATATGAACTTATCAAAGAAATAGTGCAGAGCTTAAATCAATAGTCCTCAGTTATTCCCGATCAGTGGATGTTCCTCAATACGGAATGTAAGAAATGCCCACTCACCGGAACCACACTTGATACAGTGCAGTGTATGAATATTATTCCCTGGTGTCACTGGAAGTGTACATCTGGTTCAGCCCTTGGAAGAGTATCCCTCTTTAGATCAGACAGGTCCAGGGTCACAGCAAATAAGGCTCCGACACAGAGTTCCCCTTAACTGATGTTTGGGTGTTACTTTTGCAGCCAATAGAAACCTCCCACTCTGGATGGAATCGGAGTAACACAGCTTCTGAAAAAAAGGGGGTTCTCCCCATGCGGGGTTACTCCGATTCCATCCAGAGTGGGAGGTTTCTATTGGCTGCAAAAGTAACACCCACACATCCCTTAAGGGGAACTCTGTGTCGGAGCCTTATTTGCTTTGACCCTGGACCTGTCTGATCTAAAGAGGGATACTCTTCCAAGGGCTGAACCAGATGTACACTTCCAGTGACACCAGGGAATAACTATTATACACTGCACTGTATCAAGTGTGGTTCTGGTGAGTGGGCATTTCTTACATTCCGTATTGAGGAACATCCACTGATCGGGAATAACTGAGGACTATTGATTTAAGCGCTGCACTATTTCTTTGATATTATTTATTGAGGTTTTACTGGTTGCCTTGAGTGTACAGCTGCTGAACTGATTAGCGCTCACTTTTTTACTTTGTTTACCTATTTTATTATATGAACTTGTTCACAAAATGCAAAGGCTTCTGTGAATGGGCAGCAGAGGGGAGGGATGGACATAGCTGCTCTGCGTGCGTCTCACCTCTGTCAAAGCCTCCAGTGTCCGTGTATCCTCCCAGGAGTGCAATGAACCTGTCACATATACAAAAGTTATTTGAGACACGTCCTGATGGTGACATGCAGCTACTTGGACTTAAAGTGTTACTCAACCCAGGACCCTGCATGTATTATATCTGGTCTCCCACAGTACACAGAACATGGAAATGCAAGTATTTGAATAACTATAAACTTTCACAGGAGCTTACAAGCTTTACACAGTGGGAAAAAAAAAGGAAGACATTACTCTTGGGTAAATGGAAGAGGATGTGCAGAGGGTACATATTTATATGAAGATCACCAACATTTTGTAAACAAATGACCTTCTGTTTCGCTGTGTACTTACCTCTCCCATGACAGCGATGGGGGTCTCTCCCCGGGCCTGGGCTACCCTATGCTCTATCAGATACATGTACTCATCATACAGCAGGCGGATAAGATGGAAGGAGCCAAAGCTAGCTGCACTGCGCAGAGTCAGGTCTCGAATCACCATTGAGCTGGAAATGAAAACAGAAGTCTGTGTCATGTGGCTGGTTCTGTGTCCAATCATATCTCTTCTTCATACTTCACAACAGAAAATGAAAGAAAATCTCAGGAACAAAAACCTTTTTTTTTTCAGTATGTCTGGAAATTGGCAGGTTTTTACTGCTGTGTCACCGGTGAAGAGATTTCCCCTCTCTTCCTGTCTTAGTGACTGCCGGATCACATACAGTGGATATAAAAAGTCTATACACCCCTGTTAAAATATCAGGTTTCTGTGATGTAGAAAAATGAGACAAAGATAAATCATTTCAGAACTTTTTAGCCATGTGTTCAGTAACGTCATGGAGAAGCATTTCTGAGTGATTTTCGTATGCGCAGCTAAATTGACGCACTTCAAAAACACCTATGTGGGGTGTTTAATATTTATTCATAGGCCTGGTTAACACACAGAACACTGTAAATTGTGAGGACACGGAGCTGCTTTGAACATCTAGTTTTCTATTTGTAGCAGAGCTCTATAAAAGAAGGATCGGAGGAATAGGAGAGATGAATGTGCTTTGTGAAATACGCTTACCTCCATTCCCCTGGTCCACCAGTCAGTCATATGAATATCTCTGTATGGTTGACTTCTGGGGCGATGCCGCTGGTGCTTCCAAAACAACATAATATTCCCCACTGCAGTTTTTTTTTTTTTTTTTTTTACAAACGATTTTATTGAGTTTAAGTAGATAATAAAATAACAGCACATTTTCAAATATATTAACAGCAAAAACAAGGCACTTTGGAAAAGTACAATTCAGAAAAAGATATCATAATAATGAAGAGAAGAAACAGAAGAAAAGTAGATTGCAAGTACATGAAATACGTTAATGATAAGAGAAATTGAATAATACGTCTGTCAACAGCATCTGTCAGTCATTGTTCACTGAAAACGTTATCAGTCATGCAATAAATGTCTATAATCCCTCCATGACTCCCATTTTTTATCAGATAAGTGCATCTTATCCAGCAAAGTATAATGAATGCGTTCCATGAGCATTACAGCATCAATTCTGTGCAGGATGGAGGCCAAAGGTACAGCATTGGATCTCCAGTGTAAGGCAATAGACCATAAAGTGGCAATACAAATAGTATGTATCAATCTCATAATGGCATCAGGGACCCCTGGGATATGAGCCCCCAATAGGCAAGTCTGAATAGATAAGCATACTGGGGTACCCGCCAGTGAGGTGGCCACCTCGGATATCCTGTGCCAAATCAAAGATATGGACGGGCAATCCCAAAATATATGCACCAAAGTGCCTGTAAAACCACAGCCTCGAAAACATAGAGGGGACGTTTGTGGGTACAATCTATGTAGTCTTGATGGGGTATAATACCATCTAGTTAAAACCTTAAGGGCCGTTTCACGAACCGAAAGAGATCGAGAGCTTTTACAGATATTGTCCACCATGGAATCCCAATCCTCATCCGAAAAAGTGGTACCACTATCCTCCTCCCACCTCTGTCGGTACAACGGAGGCGTATGAAAAAGACAAAGTAAAGATTGGTGATAAAAATTGGAAATAAGACCCCTACCCCTGGGAGAGTCACGGCTGGTACGTTCAAAAAAGGAAACCGGAGAAGACGGTGTAAGGCCAGAATGTGATTCAAAAAAGTGTCTAATCTGTCGGTAACGATGGTACTCGCGAAGGGGAATATCAAAAACACTGCAGTTTTTTTGAGAGTGGAGAGACCTGGGCTTCTGTGATCTAGAATCCACTTGTAGTAAGACTATAGTCCAGACTTAGTGTTGTACTTATTAAAGCGGAGTTCCACCTGAAGAAAAAAAAAAAAGTCAGCAGCTACAAAAACTGTAGCTGCTGACTTTTAAAATACAGACACTTACCTGTCCAGAGGTGTCCTCACCACCGCTGGTTTCACCGGCCGTCTTCTCTCCCTTGCGTCGGCATCTTCAGCTTGCGGCTTCACAGCCAGGTGCCCACTGCACATGTGCGAGAAGCGCTGCGCTTTGTGAATGGCCCAGTAGTCTTCTGGGACCTGCCACGTGTCACTATGGGGAGGACAACTTCGCTTCCAATCGCCTAGGAGATTGCAGCAGAAGTGGGAGCAGATACCTGTCAAATTTGGGTACCCGCCCCCCCTACGCTCCCCAAAGGTGCCAATCTTTAATGGGGAGCGGGGGAAGAAGGCTTAAAGCGGAACTTCCCCTTTTGGGTGGAGCTCCGCTTTAAAGTAGGAGTAAAGAAGAATGAGAACACAATTGGATTTGTTGCCCAGAATGACCAATCAGGTTTCATCTGGTATTGCCTGTGAAAAGGAAACACGCTTCTGATTGGTCACTGTGGGCAACCACTTTACTTTTTTGTTTAGTAAATGTATTTCGGTGCTGTGCTCCCTGCTTTATATTGCACTGGTTATGTCTGATGATGTCTGGTTAGCAGAACTGCCTTGTCTTACTCTTGACTTCTTGTGTCACAGGCTATAGTGGACGTGGTGGTGAATCTTCAGTTCACCTTGGTGGAGACCCTGTGGAAAAAGTTTTGGAGGTTCAACCAGACTCAGCACAGCGACAGCACTGTGTGCGTATCAGTACAACCACCGGACACCTTTGTACCTCAATACTTCTCTTCCACAGTTCCCTGCTTCCCCATGGTTTCTCCATACCTATGTCACTGTGCCTTTACAATGACCCCTTTCTCTCCTTTCTTTCACCCTACAGAGATGATGAAGCAGAGAAACGTTTGCCAAAGGACAGTTTGGTTCTTTTGTCAAAGTATGAGCCTTTGCTGAAATGGAGCCGGGACTGTGACCACTTGCTATACCAGGGCCTTGTAGAGACCCTCATCCCGGATGTGCTGCGCCCAATTCCCAGTGAGTGTTTTCTTGTAGCCAGAAAAAAAGTAATAGTAATCTAGGCACAGCAAAACTGAGCACAAGGTTCCTTAACCTCCTCGGTGGTATGATTCTTTCCGATTTTTGGTGCTGAAAGCGGTACCATTATTTTGCATGGAAATATGTAGTTTTTTATTGTAGGCTGTAATTTTTAGGAATAACTCACTGAAATCTGTCCGAACAAGAGTCTAGTAAACATCCCGGGTATGATAAAATTTGAAACACGAAATCATAAATTATAATTTAATAAATAATCATAAAAAATAATAATATAATAATAATAATAAATTTAATTCAATAATATAATCAAACCAAAAACACTGAAATTTGAAATACAGAGGCAAATTCGCACATCACTGAGCAAAGTCACAAAATCGTTTTCAGTGTCTGATGACGAATTTCCCCCACAAATCATTATCACTCAATTCTGCAAGTGGTTCTGATTTACTATCGCTGTTCTCTAGCCGGTCTAAAACCGCTTTTGACCTAAAGGGACACTTTTTGGACGCCATGGACTTTTCTAAGTTTCCAGGCAGAAAGAACAGTCAAAATGCAGGCAGGGCACAGGACAAAGCATTAGGGACAAAATATATGTGAAATGCATTGAAACAGCAATGACAGCAAAAATGACATTTTTAAAAATTTCAAATTTCCCGCCGGTTCCGGTGCCCGTACGTCCCAACGTCACAGGGACCGGAACACAGAAGCCGGATGCCGGCATCGGCCGGAGGAGATGGCCGGGGACGCTGCAGGGGACACATCGCGGTAGCAAAGGACAAGGTAAGTGCTGCAGGGACCCCCAGAGCAACGCCGCATGGTAAGCCCGAGTGTAGCTCGGGGTTACCGCTTTTGGTATAGAAATTTTACCCCGAGCTACACTCGGCAAAACCACTAAGGAGGTTAAAAAAACAACTAATCTTGCAACAATTAATTTTACGTGTGAATGAGATTAGGAGTATTTAAATTAAATCTATCATAGGAGAAATCTGCGTCTGCCATGGCTGATCTGCTTTTGAAAATTCTTACTTGGCTGCTTTGCGTCACTGACCTGAAATACGTATGCAGATTATAAAAGTCTGAAGTCCTTATCTGCAAGAGGACAAGGGGGCACTCTTTACGTCTGGAGGAAAAGAAATGTAATCTCCAAACACGGAAAGGTTTCTTCACAGTGAGAGCTGTGAAAATGTGGAATAGACTCCCTCAAGAGTTGGTTCTGGCTAGCTCAGTGGATTACTTTAAAAAAGTCCTGGATTCTTTCTTGGATACACAGAATATAACTGGATATAACATTTATAGGTAAAGTTAATTCAGAGAATATCCGATTGCCTCTCGGGGGATCAGGAAGGAATTTTTTCCCCTGCAGGAGTAAATTGCTGGTTTGTTTGCCTTCCTCTGGATCAACTGTGTGTGTAGGATTATAACTTGTTTTTTATTTTTTAATGGTTGAACTGGATGGACTTTTGTCTATCAGCCAGGCTAATTATGTAACTATTGCATATTTATTTGGATTGATGAAGCCAACGGGTCAGCAGGACAGGTAGCAACTATTTAAAGTGTTTCTAAAGGCAGAAGGTTTTTTTTTTTTTTTTTACCTTTAATGTATTCTTTGCGTTAAGGTAAAAAACCTTCTGTGATTAGGATCCCCCTCAGCCCCCCATACTTAGCTGAGCCTGATTTCAATCCAGCACTATACCTGAGAGCAGTGGCTCTCCCTGCTCTCTCTCCACTCACTGGACATGGAGGCAGCAGTGGGGAGACTTTGGCTCATGCAGCTGTCAGTCACAGCCTATGATAAGGGGAGCGGGGGCAGGGCCGAGCCACGCTCTGTGTGTCAATGGACATACAGAGCCTGGCTCAGAATTTAGCCCACTTGCTATATGAGTGACCTCTTGCTATGGGGGCACTTGTGAGGAAGGGGCCCAAGAAGAGGAGGTGCGAAGCTGCTCTGTGCAAAACCATTGCACAGAGCAAATAAGTATAACTTGTTTTTTTTTTTTAAAACTTAAAAGAAAATGTTTTCCTTTACAATCACTTTAAGGAAAAAAAGGGTGAGAGTGTCAGCTCAATGTTTCTCACCTGGCAGATTTGGGTGTTTTTCTGTATGTGCTGTGATTTCTAGCATGACTTGCCAGTAGCAATTTCCCAAACTTTGTTCCCTCAGGTGCCCTGACACAAGCCATCCGAAACTTTGCCAAGAGTCTAGAGAGTTGGTTAACAAGTGCTATGATGAATATTCCAGAGGAGATGGTCAGAGTGAAGGTAAGATGAACAGGAATCCTTCCCTATGCTCAGTGGTGCTACCAGTGGTTAATAGTGGAACTGCAACTCAGAAGATAATTAAAGCGGAGCTCCACCCAAAAGGGGAAGTTCCGATTTAAGGACTGCTCCCCCGCTCCCCATTAAGGATTGGCGCCTTTAGGGGGTAGGGTTGGAGAGGTTACTTGAGTTTGACAGGTACCCGCTCCCACCTCCGGTCCGATCACCTAGGTGTCCTCCCCCCTTCCCTATAGTCTTTTGGGACACGTGACAGGTCCCAGAAGACTACTGGACCATTCATGAAGCGCAGCGCTACTCGCGCATGCGCAGTGGGTACCCGGCTGTGAAGCCGCAAGCTGTCACAGCCTGGTGCCCACACTGAAGATGCCAGCACCTGGAAGACAGGATGGCCGGTGAAACGAGCTGCGGGGGACACACCGCGGGACCGGACCGAGGGACAGGTAAGTGGCTGTTTTTTAAAAGTCAGCAGCTACAGTTTTTGTAGCTGCTGACTTTTATTTTTTGACAGGGTGAGTGGAACTTCGCTTTAAGATGATTGCAACCGTCACACTCAGAGTGGATAATTGTTGGTCACATAAAATCCTTTTAACGTCGCAAATGATCTTCTGCACAAATCTAACACATTCTACTCTCTTCAAGAGGTGGCTCATGTGACTAGTTTTTTGACGTTGGTCACATACAGTTGTCAGGATTACTGTTCAGGCAGGGCTGCAGACTGGACAGCTGTACGTAAACGTCAGTCTTCTAAAGCGGAACTAAACCCTTCTCTCCTTTTCAGCCGAAGAAGCTGCTATCCTAGCCTCTGTTGGATCTGTAACTGTCATGGTGCTGCACATGTGATCAGTTATTAATCCAGACATTTGATGGTTTGACAGTTTGGTTGAAAACACAAGCAAATGTGACAGTTGGAATATCCGGGAATATAACTGTTCTTTTTTTTGTTTTAAACAGTAAATTGATGGATTTAGTTCCGCTTTACACTAGGTTCACATCTGTGCGGGTGGTGCCGCTGCGGATCCACACGAAAATCTGTGCAGCCGCACCACCCACACAGAGGTTCTAATAGCACACCACCCGCACTGGGAACTGAGGTTCCTGTGTGGGCTCCGTTTTCCAAAGAAGTGCAGCGACTTCTTCCCTGTGTGGCATGGGAGTCCATTCAAATGAATGGGCTCTCGTGCCCGTGCAAAATGCGGCCCGCACGGCCGCATGGATGTGAACCGGGGGGGGGGGTTATACAGAGAACATTGGTCACGTGAGCCATTGGCAGGGTCTTATGTTAGAGATAATGAAGGTATTGCCATTTGGCAACAGCTCAGCTTATGTAGATAAGTTACAGTCCAGCCAAAAAAGTTTTCTTTGTTTTGGATAGGGTGAAGGATTGGAACCCCTGTTGGGTTTTTAATGCCACTTGGGGCTTCATTGAAAATATTTTCCCTCACTTAACCCCCGGTTCACACTGGATCCAACTTTGAAATGGTAAGACTTCATTTGAAGTTGCACGATTTCAAAGTCGGATGGCAGTGCGACTTCAGGTGAAACTTGATAGACATCTGTGTGACTTCATGCACAGATATCTATGCATGTTGCACCCCAAATCGGCAAAAGTAGTGCAGGAACTACTTTTATAATCAGTGCAACTCCGACAAAGTCAGAGTCCCACCGATTAGAACAGTTCTATTGCATTGGATGAGTTTTGTCATGCAATTTGAACGGTGAAATTGCATGACAATTCGCATCAGGGTGAACCAGGTTTTACTAATACCAGTTTATCAGACAGAAAGTAAAGACAAATCTGCAACAGGGTCATAGACACCAAATGAAAGTTGAGAGGGGTTCTAGTCCTCCTACACTACTAAAAAAAAAAAAAAAAAAACACTTTAATATCTGGATGATCTGAAGTTTTATACAGTATATGGCATTACACTAAATGTACATGATGTTTCATTTTATATCTCTTTTATCTTTTTTTTTCTAATCCTATTTTCTACAGTGCCACAGGAAATGTTGGCACTAAAGACATCAGAAAAAATAACATGCTGAAGCATTTTCTTTTTCATCTGTCCTATGACCCAGGTTGGTGCTGCAAGTGCCTTTGCCCAGACGTTGCGGCGCTATACATCGCTAAATCACTTGGCCCAGGCCGCCCGCGCTGTGCTGCAGAATACAGCTCAGATCAACCAGATGCTAAGTGACCTGAACCGTGTAGATTTCACCAATGTGCAGGTAGCCACATATCTGTCTTCTGCATGTTTCACCTCTTGCTTCTATCATGTGGTTCTCCAGCACTGAGGCATACTGGGCTTTATTTACTAAGGCTGGAGAGTGCAAAATCAGGTGCACTTCTGCACAGAAACCAATGAGCTTCCAGGTTTTATTACCAAAGCTTAATTGAACAAGCTGAGGTTAGAAGTGGATTGGCTCCCATGCATAACTGCACCAGATTCTGAGAGCTCCAGTTTTAGTAAATCTCTCCCCAGAGTTTCCTCTGTCTGCCTTGTGTATACCTCTGTACAAGCCATTACTCTGGGGTTGTCCTTCAGCACTGAAGATACCTGTCAACGCTCTCCTCCACTGCATCTCTTGTGTCTCTGGTATTTGTCCTCCAGCAATGAAGTCCACTGTCTGCTCTCTTTGCCACTTGGGTGTCTCTGGTGTTGTCGTCCAACACTGAAGCACGGTCTCCTCTTATCTCCTTCTGTGTGTCTTTGTTCAAGCCATGTCTCTTGTGTTGTCCTCTAGCACATACGTACATTGTCTCCTCTCTCCTCCTCTTGTACACCTGTATGCAAGCCATATTTCTAGTATTAGTGTTGTCCTCCAGTACAGAAGAGCTCTTCCTCCTTTCTTTCCAACTCTCGTCCATGTACAAGCCATGTCTCTGGGGTTGTTCTCCAGCACTGAAGTGATGTCTTCTGTCTCTGCCTGTTGTGTGTCTCTGTTGTTCTCCAGCACTGAAGTGACGTGTCCTGTCTCTGCCTGTTGTGTGTCTCTGTTGTTCTCCAGCACTGAAGTGACGTCTCCCGTCTCTGCCTGTTGTGTGTCTCTGTTGTTCTCCAGCACTGAAGTGATGTCTTCTGTCTCTGCCTGTTGTGTGTCTCTGTTGTCCTCCAGCACTGAAGTGATGTCTCCTGTCTCTGCCTGTTGTGTGTCTCTGTTGTCCTCCAGCACTGAAGTGATGTCTCATGTCTCTGCCTTTTGTGTGTCTCTGTTGTTCTCCATCACTGAAGTGATGTCTCTAGTCTTTGCCTGTTGTGTGTCTCTGTTGTTCTCCAGCACTGAAGTGACGCCTCCCGTCTCTGCCTGTTGTGTGTCTCTGTTGTTCTCCAGCACTGAAGTGACGTGTCCTGTCTCTGCCTGTTGTGTGTCTCTGTTGTTCTCCAGCACTGAAGTGACGTCTCCCGTCTCTGCCTGTTGTATGTCTCTGTTCTCCAGCACTGAAGTGACGTCTCCCGTCTCTGCCTGTTGTGTATCTCTGTTCTCCAGCACTGAAGTGACGTCTCCCGTCTCTGCCTGTTGTGTATCTCTGTTCTCCAGCACTGAAGTGACGTCTCCCGTCTCTGCCTGTTGTGTGTCTCTGTTGTTCTCTAGCACTGAAGTGACGTCTCCCGTCTCTGCCTGTTGTGTGTCTCTATTCTCCAGCACTTTAGTGACGTCTCCTGTCTCTGCCTGTTGTGTGTCTCTGTTGTTCTCTAGCACTGAAGTGACGTCTCCCGTCTCTGCCTGTTGTGTGTCTCTGTTCTCCAGCACTGAAGTGACGTCTCCCGTCTCTGCCTGTTGTGTGTCTCTGTTGTTTTCTAGCACTGAAGTGACGTCTCCCGTCTCTGCCTGTTGTGTGTCTCTGTTGTTCTCCAGCACTGAAGTGACGTGTCCCGTCTCTGCCTGTTGTGTGTCTCTGTTCACCAGCACTGAAGTGACGTCTCCTGTCTCTGCCTGTTGTGTGTCTCTGTTGTTCTCCAGCACTGAAGTGACGTCTCCTGTCTCTGGCTGTTGTGTGTCTCTGTTCTCCAGCACTGAAGTGACGTCTCCTGTCTCTGCCTGTTGTGTGTCTCTGTTGTTCTCTAGCACTGAAGTGACGTCTCCTGTCTCTGCCTGTTGTGTGTCTCTGTTGTTCTCTAGCACTGAAGTGATGTCTCCTGTCTCTGCCTGTTGTGTGTCTCTGTTGTTCTCTAGCACTGAAGTGATGTCTCATGTCTCTGCCTGTTGTGTGTCTCTGTTGTTCTCTAGCACTGAAGTGATGTCTCATGTCTCTGCCTGTTGTGTGTCTCTGTTGTTCTCCAGCATTGAAGTGACGTCTCCCGTCTCTGCCTGTTGAGTGTCTCTGTTCTCCAGCACTGAAGTGACGTGTCCCGTCTCTGCCTGTTGTGTGTCTCTGTTGTTCTCCAGCACTGAAGTGACGTCTCCTGTCTCTGCCTGTTGTGTGTCTCTGTTGTTCTCCAGCACTGAAGTGACGTCTCCTGTCTCTGTTTTGTGTCTCTGTTGTTCTCCATCACTGAAGTGACGTCTCCTGTCTCTGCCTGTTGTGTGTCTCTGTTCTCCAGCACTGAAGTGATGTCTCCTGTCTCTGCCTGTTGTGTGTCTCTGTTATCCAGCACTGAAGTTACGTCTCCCGTCTCTGCCTGTTGTGTGTCTCTGTTCTCCAGCACTGAAGTGACGTCTCCTGTCTCTGTCTGTTGTGTGTCTCTGTTGTTCTCTAGCACTGAAGTGACGTCTCCAGTCTCTGCCTGTTGTGTATCTCTGTCCTGCCTCCTCTGCGTTACTGTACAACCCCTGTCTCTGGGGTTAACCAGCATAGATACATGCTGTCTCCTCTCTCGGCCTCTCGTATACCACTTTGTCATGTCTCTGGGATTGTCCTGTAGCAGACATGCATTGTCTACTCTCTCATCTGTTTTCTACCTGTTGTGTATTTCTGGTGTTTGTCCATCAGCTCTAAAGTGCACTGTCTCCTCTCTGTTCTAGCTGTGTCTCTGGTTTTGCCCTAAAGCACTGTCTCCTCTATTCTTCCTATACAAGCCGTATCTCTGGTGTGATCCTCCAGCACTGTCTCCTCTCTATTCTTCCTATACAAGCCGTATCTCTGGTGTGATCCTCCAGCACTGTCTCCTCTGTTCTTCCTATACAAGCCGTATCTCTGGTGTGGTCCTCCAGCACTGTCTCCTCTCTATTCTTCCTATACAAGCCGTATCTCTGGTGTGGTCCTCCAGCACTGTCTCCTCTCTATTCTTCCTATACAAGCCGTATCTCTGGTGTGATCCTCCAGCACTGTCTCCTCTATTCTTCCTATACAAGCCGTATCTCTGGTGTGATCCTCCAGCACTGTCTCCTCTGTTCTTCCTACACAAGCCGTATCTCTGGTGTGATCCTCCAGCACTGTCTCCTCTGTTCTTCCTATACAAGCCGTATCTCTGGTGTGATCCTCCAGCACTGTCTCCTCTATTCTTCCTATACAAGCCGTATCTCTGGTGTGATCCTCCAGCACTGTCTCCTCTATTCTTCCTATACAAGCCGTATCTCTGGTGTGGTCCTCCAGCACTGTCTCCTCTATTCTTCCTATACAAGCCGTATCTCTTGTGTGGTCCTCCAGCACTGCAGTGCACTTTCTCCTCTCCCCCACTTTCTTCCTCTTGTGTTTCTGTTCAAGCCATGTCTCTGAGGTTGTCCTCAAGCACTGAAACCCACTGTCCCCTCTCTCTCCTCAGGAGCAGGCATCCTGGGTGTGTCGCTGTGCAGATCGCGTTGTCCATCGGCTGGAGCAGGACTTTAAGCTGACTTTACAGCAGCAGAGCTCACTGGAGCAGTGGGCCGAGTGGCTGGATAGTGTCGTCTCCCAGGTGCTGAAGCCACATCAAGGAACACCCGGTTTTTCTAAGGCTGCCAAACTTTTCCTCCTCAAGTGGTCTTTCTACAGGTAGGAGATGATGGTTTTAAAGTAAAATGTCATTAGTTTCGGACAGAGGGTGGAAAGATTGTGAAGATTTATTGCTGTCTGGGTCCTTGTTGGGCAGATTCATCCGCTTTTCCTAACCTGTTGGCACCAGTTAGAGCTGATTCACACATCTGTGTGGATTGAAGCTCAGGCTAACTGACACAGTAGTTGTTCAGGGGTTCATGTCAGGTTTACATCAGGTTCAGGACAGGATTAGCTCAGGAATTTATCCTGTTCACACATGTGGTTTAGAAACAGTTCCCATAGAAGTCAATAGCCTGTAATCCGCACCTGAACCTGACCGCACTGCTGCTCAGAAATCGTATATGAATCCACACCGCCAGTACACCAGACATATGTGACCAGGCACCATAGGAAGCAATGTTATTTCACATGTCATGCGGTTCAAACCGCATACAGTGGATATAAAAAGTCTACACACCCCTGTTAAAATGTCAGGTTTTCTGTGATGTAAAAAAATGGGACAAAGATAAATCATTTCAGAACTTTTTCCACCTTTAATGTAACCTATAAACTGTGATAGAAAAACTCAGTGAGCGCTTGCAATATATTCATAAAAGCAGCTAAGCACAGTAAAGGAAACCATAAACCTTTCAAGAGACATATATAGAAAAAGTGCAGCGCTAAAAATATTCGGACAGATTTTTGGTAGCAATGTTCATAAATGGGTAATGAGTCCACAATATAAGAGCTCGAGGTGATATATTAATCCCACGGTCGTGGTTCGAATAAAACTCGGTGAGGGGCAGGGTATGTATAAAATGCGTACTCACCGGAAGTGCAAAGAAAATGCGCAATGTATCACCAAAATGGAGGTCTGCCAGGGGGTCCTTTTCAGGATGCAACTGGAGCCAGCCTAGGGTGGATGGGCATCGTCTAGGTAGATGTTCTCAAAAACGGAGGTCCACTTTAAGGACACGGGTGCAGCCTCTTCAGTACCGTGGAATAGTCACCAGGGGGAGCTCTGGGGGATTAAATGCTCAAAGCAGAGCAACAAATGGAAATACCCATAGTGTAGTATTGTCAGAAAAACTTCCTTCATTAAATTTTTCTGACAATACTACACTATGGGTATTTCCATTTGTTGCTCTGCTTTGAGCATTTAATCCCCCAGAACGCCCCCTGGTGACTATTCCACGGTACTGAAGAGGCTGCACCCGTGTCCTTAAAGTGGACCTCCGTTTTTGAGAACATCTACCTAGACGATGCCCATCCACCCTAGGCTGGCTCCAGTTGCATCCTGAAAAGGACCCCCTGGCAGACCTCCATTTTTCTGATACATTGCGCATTTTCTTTGCGCTTCCGGTGAGTGCGCATTTTATACATACCCTGCCCCTCACCGAGTTTTATTCGAACCACGACCGTGGGATTAATATATCACCTCGAGCTCTTATATTGTGGACTCATTACCCATTTATGAACATTGCTACCAAAAATCTGTCCGAATATTTTTAGCGCTGCACTTTTTCTATATACAAACCTATAAACTGTACAATTGAAAAACAAACTGAAATCTTGAGGGGGGGAGTAAACATAAAAACTAAAATAATGTGGTTGCATAAGTGTGCACACCCTCTTATAACTGGGGATGTAGCTGTGTTCAGAATTAAGCAATCACATTCAAAATCATGTGAACTAGGAGTCAGTACACACCTGCCATCATTAAAGTGCATCTGATTAACCCCAAATAAAGTTTAGCTGTTCTAGTAGGTCTTTCCTGACATTTTCTTAGTCGCATCCTACAGCAAAAGCCATGGTCCGCAGAGAGCTTCCAAAGCATCAGAGGGATCTCATTGTTAAAAGGTATCAGTCAGGAGAAGGGTAAAAAGAATTAACAAGGCATTAGATATACCATGGGACATAGTGAAGACAGTCATCATCAAGTGGAGAAAATATGGCACAACAGTGACATCACCAAGAACTGGACGTCTCTCCAAAATTGATGAAAAGATGAGAAGACACCTGGTATGGGAGACTGCCAAGAGGCCTACAGCAACATTAAAGGAGCTGCAGGAATATCTGGCAAGGACTGGCTGTGTAGTCCATGTGACAACAATCTCCCATATTCTTCATATGTCTGGACTATGGGGTAGAGTGGCAAGACGGAAGCCTTTTCTTACGAAGAAAAACATCCAAGTCCGGCTAAATTTTGCAAAAACACATCTGAAGTCTCCCAAAATCATGTGGGAAAATGTGTTATGGTCTGATGAAACCAAGGCTGAACTTTCTGGCCATAATTCCAAAAGATATGTTTGGCACAAAAACAACACTGCACATCACCAAAAGAACACCATACCCACCGTGAAGCATGGTGGTGGCAGCATCTGGGACCTTAGTCAAGGTAGAGGGAATTATGAACAGTTCCAAATACCAGTCAATATTGGCACAAAACCTTCAGGCTTCTGCTAGAAAGCTGAATATGAAGAGGAACTTCATCTTTCAGTATGACAACGACCCAAAGCTTACATCCAAATCAACAAAGGAATGGCTTCACCGGAAGTAGATTCAAGTTTTGGAATGGCCCAACCAGAGCCCAGACGTGAATCCGAACAAACATCTGTGGGGTGATCTGAACAGGGCTGTGCAAAGGAGATGCCTTCGCAATCAGAGGCTATCACAGCAATCATGTGACCTGGAATCGGGAGTCCCGGGTCCCAATCATTAGAACTTGGACCTGGGGCTCTCCGTGACACCCCAGTCTTTGTGCTGGAAGTGCACTGTGCGGCTCGCTCCCAGCACAAAGACAGGTACACAAATATGCGGCCCCATGAAAAAAAGCCCAGTTCTGTGAGGCCGCATATTTGTGTTCCGTCGGCGGGAAGGGGTTATGGTTTTGGAATGGCCCAGCCAGAGCCCAGACCTGAATCCGATCGAACATCTATGGGGTGATCTGAAGAGGGCTGTGCACAGGAGATGCCCTCACAATCTGACAGATTTGGAGTGTTTTTGCAAGGAAGAGGGGACAAATATTGCCAAGTCAAGATGTGCCATGCTGATAGACTCACCCCCAACAAGACTGAGTGCTGGAATCACATCAAAAGGTGCTTCATCAAAGTATTATTTTAAGGGTGTGCACACTTATGCAACCAGATTAGTTTTTATTTTTACTTCCCTCCACCTAAAAGATTTCAGTTTGTTGTTCAACTGAGTTGTACAGTTTATAGGTCACATTAAAGGTGGAAAAAGTTCTGAAATGATTTATCTTTGTCTCATTTTTTTTACATCACAGAAACCTAACATTGTAACAGGGGTGTGTAGACTTTTTATATCCACTGTGTATGTGAACCGGCACTCACTAAGACAGGAAAAGAGGGGAAATCTCTTCATTGGTGACACAGCAGTAAAAACCTGCCAATTTCCAGACATACTGAATAAAAAAAAAAGGTTTTTGTTCCTGAGATTTTCTTTTATTTTCTGTTGTGAAGTATGAAGAAGAGATATGATTGGACACAGAACCAGTCACATGACACAGACTTCTGTTTTCATTTCCAGCTCAATGGTGATTCGAGACCTGACTCTGCGCAGTGCAGCTAGCTTTGGCTCCTTCCATCTGATCCGCCTGCTGTATGATGAGTACATGTATTATCTGATAGAGCATAGGGTAGCCCAGGCCCGGGGAGAGACCCCCATCGCTGTCATGGGAGAGGTAAGTACACAGCGAAACAGAAGGTCATTTGTTTACAAAATGTTGGTGATCTTCATATAAATATGTACCCTCTGCACATCCTCTTCCATTTACCCAAGAGTAATGTCTTCTTTTTTTTTTTTTTCTTCTTAGTTTACCAACGCGAGCAACTCCTCACAACCCATGGATCAGGACAAGGGTAAGTGTGGAACTACGAACAGGAGGAATGAATGACAGTTTCTACATGAGCCCGGTATATGTCATGTTGACTCACTGTTCTGATCATGAGGTGACGATTTAGGAAAATGCAACGGAAATTTACACCAGTATTAAAACCAAATGCAAACATTTATTATACTGCAGCTTACCAATTCTCAGATGTAGTGCCAGCATTCGTTTTTATTTTTATGTTTCCTTTCTTTTATTTTCACCTGGTGATCCTACCAGTAAGTCTGTGTTTTCACCAGAACAAGCTGTCCTGCAGACAAACCATTTACCACGGACAGCAGTGCTTACAATGGTTAGCTTTTATTTGTTTATATAAAACCTTTATCCCAAAAGGAAAAAAGAACTTTTGCTGTAACGGATTAAAAAGTGTGAGCTGGAGTCTGGCTTCAATTTGTTACTACATCCAGGGGCGGACTGACAACTCATGGGGCCCCCGGGCAATAGAGGATCATGGGGCCCCTGTGTCCTTGCCAAAACTCAAAAAAGCCTATGAAAAAGGTACCGGGGGAATCTCATGGGGCCCCCTACTGACCCCGGGCCCTCGGGCAGTGCCCGAGTTTCCAAATGGTCAGTCCACCCCTGACTACATCTAAATCTGCTAGTACAGCTAACACTCGCCTCTCTCCAGACTGACTACACTGCTGTTCAGAGGTGGCCCTGTTGCGACTTCATCCAGAGTGGAGGCACTCATACAGGAGGCGTGTTACTGGTAGGTATTCAATAAATCACTCGGCAACTAATAACCTATAAATTATTCTAATAGTGGATCCCAAATATGCAGCCCAAGAAAAAGTCACACTTTCACCCTTGAAAGTAAAATATTAGTAATGAAGCCTTTTCCTTCACCTCAAAAAACAAACAAGCCAAAAATTATACAAATTAAAGTAAATAAAAGTCCAAAAATGAATGTCCAAAAATTAGTGACACTAATTTTTGGACATTAATTTTTGGACTTTTATTTACTTTAACCATTTGCCGCCCGGCCTATAGCCGTTTGGCGGCTGCAAAAATGCATTACCTCTCCGGGGTGTACGCCATTTGGCGTCCTCCCACACATGCGCGGTTGCAGAGCCGCGCAGCGGCGCGTTCTGTCACCGGCCGTATACCTCGGACACGGCCGATGACAGATCTGAGTACCAGCCCCTGTTGCCGGTACCATGTGACCTGCTGTGACCAATCACAGCAGGTCACATGACAGTTGTATACAATGGATGGCTTCATTCATGCCATCCATTGTATACTAGTACCTAGCTGTGAATGGTCACAGCTAATCACATGCACATGTCATGTGATTAGCTGTGGCCAAATCACAGCTAAGCACAAAAAAAAACCAAAAAAAAAAAAACCTGAATGAATCGATGTCATTCAGGTAAATGCTTGCTTATAGCAAAGTAATTCTTTGCTATAAACAAATTGTGTAAAAAAAAAAAAAAATACTGATCACTTCCCCAAAGTAGTACAATGTTACTATGGTAACATTGTACTACTTTGGTCATAGTAAAATATGAAAAAAAAATCTTAAAAAAAAAAAAAAAAAAAAATGTAATAAAAAATAATAAAAAATATATATATATATATATTTTTTTTCATACTGTCACCAGTCAGTGTCCCTGTTCACCGCCATGCCAGTTATATGATGACGCTGTACTGCACTGGTGACAGTGTGTAAAAAAACTAATAGTGAAAATAATTTTTTAAATTTTTTAATTTTCCGAAAAATTATGACAAAAAAAATATAACTTCAAAAAAAACTCGCCATGCCTCTTATGAAGTACGTCGGACTGTCTACTCTGCAAAAAGGGGTCATTTGGGGGATATCTGTACTGTTCTGACATTTGGGGGATATCTGTACTGTCCTGACATTTGGGGGATATCTGTACTGTCCTGACATTTGGGGGATATCTGTACTGTTCTGACATTTGGGGATATCTGTACTGTCCTGACATTTGGGGGATATCTGTACTGTTCTGACATTTGGGGATATCTGTACTGTTCTGACATTTGGGGGATATCTGTACTGTCCTGACATTTGGGGGATATCTGTACTGTTCTGACATTTTTGGACCTCAAGAAATTAGATTGGCTGTCAGTACTTCAGGATTGATCAATATTCAGATCTATACCATAGTTTGTGAACTCTATAATTTTCCTACAAACTAAATAATACATCCTAATTTGGGTTATTTTCACCAAAGACATGTAGCAGAATACATCTCGGCCTAAATTTATGAAGAACAATTATTTATTTGTAAACTTTTAAACCAGAAACAAAGAAAAACGTGTTTTTTTTTCAAAATTTTTTGCCTTTTTTTGTTAATTTAGCAAAAAATAAAAACCCCAGCGGTGATTAAATACCACCAAAAGAAAGCTCTAGTTGTGTGAAGAAAATGATAAAATTTTAGTTTGGGTACAATGTTGTATGACCGCGCAATTGTCATTCAAAGTGTGAGAGAGCGCTGAAACCTGAAAAATGGCCCTGGGCAGGAAGGGGGTAAAAGTGCCCGGTATTGAAATGGTTAATGTGTATAATTTTTGGTGTGTTTTGTTTTTTTGAGTTGAGCTGAAGGAAAAGGCTTCATTACTAGTGTCACTGGCAGGATCACCAGGTGAAGATGGAAGGGAAAAGCCTTTAAAAAAAAAAAAACAATGCAACCTCCACATCAAAGGATTAGTAAGCTGCAGTATATTAGTCATGAAGAGACCTGAAGCTTTGCTCTAAGCTGAGGTTTAAATGTCTCCCTGCCGGTGTTTAGAAGATGGGAGCAGGCGTCGGGTTCACTTCTCCAGGGATGTCAAACTTGTTTAGTATGAGACGCCGCTCAGACCAACCAAGTGCTGATTGGATCTGTGGCCTCAGCCATGCGGCTGGAGCAGCACTGCCTGAGGCCACACATCCAATCAGCACTGTGTTGGTCTGAGCGGCGTCTCATGCTAAACAAGTCTGACATTCCTGCAATATATTGAGTTTTTGGTTTAACATTGCCGTGATGGAAGAGGAGGGGTATCGGGTCATAGAGATCTTGGTGTATTTAAGAAATGTTGCCTCATGTAGCTTCACTAGGTCAGCTGTAGGCAGTGCCTGACTGCACATATAGTATCTAGACTTGGAGGACACTGTGCGGGGGATTTACTAAACCTGGTGCTCACAGAATCTGGTGCAGCTGTTCACAGTAACCAGTCAGCTTCAAACTTCAGATTGTTCCATTAAGTTTTGACAATAAAACCTGGAAGCTGATTGGTTACTATGCAGAGCTGCACCAGATTTTGTGTGCAACAGTTTTAGTAAATCTTCCTCTGTTCATATCTGTCTAACAGGACGCTGTATGTATAATAAAGGGCATACACATTCATGCATCTGCCCCAGTGCTTTGGACATCTACCTCTTTCATAAAAACTACCCTAAGGGCTCGTTCACACATGACTTATTTCTAACTCTTGCCAAACACCCCTATAGCGTTTGACAGACCTATGTGCGGTTTTTGAGGTTTTTGCCAAGCGTTAAAACCGCACCACAAACACCTATAATGAAGTTAAATGGTGTTAACGCCCCACAAATGCCCCGCAAACGCCTGCCAGGTGTTTAAGGAGCGGCACTATAGACTTGAATGGGAGGCTTCAACTAATCCTGATTAGACATGAGGTGTCAGTTTTTCCGTGACGCTAACGCTTCAATGTGAACAGCACTGTGTGCTGCCATGTGCAGAATTTTCATAGGCATTTGGGAAGAGTTAAAAACACTTCCCAAACGCCTGTCTGACGCCTGCTGACAAAGCTAGTGTGAACGTAGCCTAAGACAATGCTTGTAGAAGCAACAGGCTGATCTTCTAGCTTCAAAGAGCCAAAACAGTCTCCTTTAAACGGGAAGTATGGGTTAAAAACAAAAATAAAAAAAATTGACTCGCCTAGGTGGATGCAGCGTTGATCCGATACTGCATCTATTCCCTGCCGGCTCTAAAACTGACAACTACATAGTCTGGATGAAAAAAATAAGCTCATCCAACAGGGATTTATGTGACTCTGAATCAGACAAAATCTCATCAGCCGCTGGCTCGGAACCTGCATCTCTGAAATGCTGAAATTAAGTGCACCCCCCCCCCCCCCCCCCCGATCTAAAATAAAACCATGGCCAAAAAAAAAGCTTTAGTCATACTTTTTCTTTGAAAAGGTTTCCTTCTGTGCATGTCTTTCCTCTGAGCCATACAGCTGGGTTTTTTTTTGTTGTTTTTTTTTTTTAATTCAGAAAATATGAAATACTGAATTTGAATATTTCATATTTACTATTTGCAACCAGAGTCTGGAGAACTCCAGGCAGGCATTCTCTACAAGCTCTCTTTCTGGACCTGTAGTTCTAAAAAAAAATAACTACAGGTCCATAAAAAAGAGCTTGTAGAGAACGAAAAAGTAATAAAAAAAAGTACATTTTTTAAAAATTACTGCACACTAATTAACCACTTCCTGTGCTGCCGATGCGGGTGGACGTTTTTAAATGTCCCCCCGCATCCATTGCCTGTGCACACTCCCTGGGAGCACGGGGCGCCGTGATCGCTGTACAGGACCTCTGTGCGAGGTCCCGATTCATGTGATCACTGATTGGCCAATCAGTGATCACATGAATAATAGTAATCAAGATGTCACTTCTGACATCATTGCTTACTACGTGTGAAATTTGTGAATGATCACAGAGGTCACATGTTACAAGGCTATTCACAGCAGCCTTGTACCATGTGACAAGCTGTGCCCAATCACAGCTCACACAGTATTTCTCAATGGCGGAAAGAATGCAGCCAGAGAGGAGAAATGATTGCTTTTATAGCCTTTATAGGTGTAAAAGCAGTGTAAAAAAATAAATTTTCATCAACCCCCCCAAGTAGTACAGTGTCACTAGGGTGACAGTATGTTAAAAAAAAAAAATAATAATAATATAAAAAAAAACAAATATAAAAAATAAAAATGTAAAAACATTTTTTGAAAAATTTTAATTTTTGGTTGTAAACTAATTTTGGTTATTTTGTTTACTAAAAAGATAGATGAATACATTTTGGCCAAGATTTCTGAAGAAAGATTATTTATTTGCAAAATTTTATAAGAAAAACACTTTTTAAAAATGTTTTGACTTTTTAATTCATATAACAAAAACTTAAAAATCCCAGCGGTGAATAAATACCACCAAAATAAAGCTTTATCTGTCTCAAAAAAAATGCTGAAAATTCATATGGGTACAGTATGGCATGACCGCGCAATTGTCATTCAAAGTGTGATAGCGCTGAAAATTGGCCTGAACAGGAAGGGGGTAAAAGTGTCTGGACTTGAAGTGGTTAAAAGGTACTGTCTCTATAAAAAACATATTAATTTTTGTCTATTTCTTTGGCCAGATGAGGAAGAAGAAGAAGAGGATGAGAGTGATGAGGAAGTAACACATGAGCTTTCACTAAATATCGATTCCTCCAACACCCTGGAATCCAGCTCCCTCGAGCCACCCAGCAAGCTAGCACGTACGGACACCCAGGGGATATTTGTGCAGGTGCCGTCCACAACCTAATCAGCACCTGATTGGCCAACGCTACACCAGAGCCTTCTGGGAGCGTGCGGATTGGACGGAGGAGGGGGGATATTACCTCCGTACCAACAAAATCCCCACAATGCACTAGCTATGAGATCATTACAACTCCAAGGATAAGGGCTCTTGTGTCAGTAAGACCTGGCTGTGTCCTCTATACCAGTCACAGATGACCACTCTATGTGTGTGTATATAATCAAATATATATACATACACCCCCTTCACCCCCCCCACACAAGCACAGACTGCAAGGAAATCCAATTGTATATATCTAGTATACGGTCCATCGTGCTGCTGTGCGTTCAACAATATGTACATAGCTCGGCGAGCTTACAGCAGACCTTTTCTTGTGCGTGTCTATATGTATATTCATATTCTATATATAGAGTAAGTGTATTTTAAATTGCAGAAGTCCTGCCCTTATGAAATCCTGCAAAATTTGGAAAAACCTAAGTCCATGACGGACTTAGACGAGCGCCCGTATCGTGCCAGCCGGGTAAATTCTCTGTGCCATGACAGCATACGGGGAGGTCGTGATTAAACCATCAGTGTGCTGTACAAGATCTGACAGAAGGATCCCTCTGAAAGCTTCGAGGGAAAATCCCATGGTTTTAAAAAAACAAAAAAAACGGTTTGAAAGCTTGATGTTTTGTACAGCTTTTATGTCTATTTTTATAATATTGATTACAGACTACATGGATGACAGTTTGCATATCATGCTGAGGTGTCTAACAGCCCAGCATTGCCAACATGTTGGCAGAACTGTAAACCGTCTAATGGACAAAACAAAAACAGACAAAGGTTCGGGAGAAGCTGAGCCTTGGGCTGCTTTCTTGTTGGAAGACAACTTGAGCAAAGTCAGGGGCCTGGGGCCAATGTGCAACTCAGGCTTTAAGAGACAGGCAGCATGCATCTAAAGCTTCTCATACAGGAATATTGCTGCATTTATTAGCAAGTTAAATAGAATGGAGGGATTGTTTAGGTTATAAGTTAAAGCGGAGCTCCACCCAAAAGGGGAAGTTCCACTTTAGGGACTACTCCCTATTAAGGATTGGGACCTTTTGGGGGGGGGGGGTACCTGAATTTGGCAGGTACCCGCTCCCACTTCTGGTCCGATCACCTAGGCCAGGGGTAGGCAACCTGTGGCTCTCTAGCTGTTGTGGAACTACATTTCCCATGAGGCATTGCAAAGATTACAAAACTGACAGTTACAGCTGTGACTTGCAGAGGCATGATGGAACTTGTAGTCCTGCAGCTCTCAGGTTGCCTAGGCGATCGGAAGTGGAAGGTGTCCTCCCTTCCTGTAGTCTTTTGGGACACGTGACAGGTCCCAGAAGACTACAGGACCATTCATGAAGTGCAGCTCTACTCGTGCATGTGCAGTGGGTACCCGGCTGTGAAGCCGCAAGCTATCACAGCCGGGTGCCCACACTGAAGTTTCCGGACTCCTGGAATACAGGACGGCCGGTGAAACGGGCTGCGGGACACACACCGAGGGACAGGTAAGTGGCTGTTTTTTTAAAAGTCAGCAGCTACAGTTTTTGTAGCTGCCGACTTAATTTTTGACAGGTGAGTGGAACTCCGCTTTAAGAACAGCTCTTACCGGCACACCATGGATTCATAGTCCAAACGTGTATAAAAGGACCTGTTTCTCAGGCATGAGGTTATGCATGATGACTGTCATGTCACACTGGGATTCTGCCACTAGTGAGCTGTCACCAGTGAACAGAAAGAATCCCGAATCCCTTGGTCACTGTAATGGAGGGACATCTGGGTGGTTTGACCACTAAGAGAACCAACCCAAAGAAGAAAGATTTGGCCTTTTGTTAGGTGGCCAGCTAGTCCCACATGAGAGTATTGTGCCATTTGTTGTGTGTCAGTTCCAGGAAGTAGGTGGCAATTGGCCAATCCAGTGTGTGAAAGTCCACTCGGTTCCTGAAAAAAAAAAAAAGGTGCGTTTTTGGTAGACAATCCCCTTACAAAAAGGTTAAAGACGAGCAGAACCTTTTGCAAAAAAAAAAAAAAAAATACAAAAATAAATAAATACACCCATATTTGCAGCAAAAAAAGTTGTCTGCAAAGCATTGCAACTGTGATCAGTGGATCGTGGGTACAGTGCACAGGCTCCTGCAGATTTTTGCTCCCTTCACAATCAATGGCCAGTTCACCAGATAAGCAGTTACATGTGATTTAAGGACTGATCAACCCTGGGATGTCCAGCTTACAGTCATGGCCGGTCTTGGCTGCATACAACTTGGCCAGAGTGAACCGTCCTGCTTGTATGCAGCCATAGCACACAATGCAGCCGTGTCCAGCTTTGGTGTTATGCAGCAGCCTATCTGCTCTCTTTCACCCATCTGAATGAGTTCCTGAATTCTGAACTGGTTGGGTTGTTCCCCTCATCTACTCCCTTTCTCCAGGCTTTGTCTGGAATCCGCATTATATTTGACATTCACTGTTGGGCAGTTTATTGGTGCCTTGGCTCCACCATGTTAGCAGCTTTGCTCAACAACTGCAGGATAGTGATACCTGGTCAGAAAGTTCCCCTCGAAGAACCACAGCAGCCTAGAGAAGCAGTAGGGGGTGTGCACACCCAAAGGGTTCCTACCCCATGAGAGACAGCAAAAAGGGAATCTAAACCCAATAATAAAAATGTAATATATTGCCGCTCATCAATCATTTGATTTGTTAACTTCATTCCTCTTTATGTTCACTTGGTGATCATGCCAGCGATGCCCATTATGGCACTCCAAGAGAGGCATGAGAAATACATCGGGCTGGCTTCCCACACTTTTCTCAACCTAAAACATCAAACGGAGATGACCTGTCTCCCATGATGAGCTCTGTCTTCCTAATGTCCATTCTCTTTGGGACAGGGCTTATACCGCCCCGCCCAGCAATCATTATCCAGCATCCATAACATTACTAAATAATATCCCCATTTTCTGAGCTAGCTAAGGGAGGACAGACACAGATGGATAGAGGAAACCACGGCACAGATCAGAGGAACTTCCATGAAAGCCATGTAGAGGTACACGTGGTAGTAAACCATATCCGGTAAATACAACAGGCAGAGTTTTTATAACAGAGGAGACCCTAGAGGTCTCTTGTGTAATAAATGACCCCCGTGCCTGTCAGCAGGTAATGCGATCTGAGCTGCGCAAGTGCAGCTCCAACCGCATTTACGGCCCGCTGTGTGCTGTGGCGAGGTGCCTCCCAATGTGCATGCACAGGAGTGATGGTTTTGCAGCCCGGCCAATCAAGCGGCCGAAAAAGACCAAGTTAACGTGGAAGCGCTGAGGAGCAGAGAGAGCCGTGACAGCCCAGCGCTGGACCGCTCACTCTGGAGGAAAGTCTTTCATATTGTACTAGTATGCGGTGCGTAGTAATACATTAGGACTTAGACCTGCACGGGGACTGGTTATTTTTTTTTAATCCCTAGAGCAGTGGTTCTCAACCTTCCTAATGCCGCGACCCTTTAATACAGTTCCTCATGTTGTGGTGACCCCCAACCATAAAATTATTTACCCAGTAATTATAATTCATGAAGTGTCGTTTTACCTCCAATACTGCTGCTTTCAACACAGTAGCTGCTTTTAAAAGAGTAGCTGCTTTCAACACAGTAGCTGCTCTTTACACATCGGAAATATGTGTTTTCTGATGGTCTTAGGGGACCCCTGTGAAAGAGTCGTTCGACCCCCAAAGGGGTCGCAACCCACAGGTTGAGAACCACTGCCCTAGAGCTTACTACCACTTTAAGACACCCCCCATAGACGGCTTTTGGCCTATTCCTGATGCAGCAGCTGAAATTGGAGCCGTCGGTGGTCTTGCAAGCAGCACCCATCTTGACAAAAGTCAACATTATAAATCAACTGAGCTGGGTGGAAAATGAATGGCTAAACAGGAACTGCATCCTATCAAATGTAGTCACATTTGGCAGCACCACTGGATTTAGGCTGGCCATAGATGGAGCAAATTTCTTTCCTGCAACCTGTGGTTGCAGGAAAGAATTTTGCTCGATTCTCCAACACAGACAGTGCTGACAGGGGAATCCCTTCCATGGAGCCAAGCTGTCCCCGCCAGGAGTACACAGTTATTCTTGCTAGCAGCTATAACAGCCGCTCACAATAATTGCATGTAAAACCCGGCAGGCTGGTTGTACCCCGGTTGATCGATCACTTGGGTACATTCAGCCTGCCCATACATGGATGAACCAGCCAACATTCAGATGGTCAATGTCTGGCTTTAGACAGCCACAGCAGCGACCTGAATACGATAGCTGGTACTGGAGATTCTTCTATCCACAGGGTTAGTGTGGATGGGGGAATCATTTGATTCCCTCTTGTTCAGCCCATAGCCATGTTTGGTGCCTTGGAAAAGCAGACTGTTGTAAAGTATTAGCGCCCCTTTGGCGTCGTCTCTTAGGCCTGAGTAACAGACATGATGATTAAGTGAATCAAATACTTTTGAATAGGAGCCAATCATAAAGGACGATGCCAGGTGTCCACATCCAGAACTAGCATTTCTCTACGGACTGGAAGAACAGGCACAGATTTAGATTTTTTTATATCAGTTTAGCTTTAAAAAGGAAGGTGATGTAGTCAGTACATGCATGCTGTGCCCTATAGTTGGGGATATGAAGTACAAGTGTTTGGGTCCTCATGCCATAATGTCACCAACACGTTCTAGAGCAAACACAAGGCCCGTGGGCCAAATCCGTTCCTCCAGGCCTTTTCATGGGGTCCTGGCAGCCAGGGCTTTTTTTCAACTGGAACATGGCTTCATCCCTCCACCTCCAGACCTCACCTTCCGCTCACCATTATTTGTAAGTACAGAAGGCTTCTGTGTTTACAAGGACAGCTTTCCACTCCATGGCTTGCGGCTGTCACAGATCCCTACCTGCCCTCACAGTGGGGAGAGACGCCGACCAATGATCTCCCTGCAAGTAAGAGAGAGGCAGAGCCACCTACACTGCTGGGAGG